GGTTTTGTTATTTTATTATTATTATTATTATTATTATTATTATTATTATTATTATTATTATTATTATTATTATTATTATTATCATTATTCTCCAACCTTAATTAATATGGATCTTGAATATCGCCTCTGTCTACTCTATCAAAAACGTGATGTTCTTAAAGTTATTATACCAACCATTTAAACTTGAATTATTGTTAAACATATTTAAGATTTTTACAGAACAAATATTGGCCTGTTCACTAGGTGATTTCTAAAAAAAAAAAAAAAAAAAAAAAAACATTTTGCTTGCTCTGGATTTTATCTAAATATATCAGAGTTAATGGAAGGATAAAAATTTATTATATATGATAGTAAATCAGGTATACCACACAAACTCCATATGAAACGATTGTTATTGTAAACAGGGGCCCTACTATAAGCAAATAAAGACAAAGCATTTACAAGGTGTACCAATTTTGAAGAAGTCTATTTGAATGATTTACCTATTTACTATTATATGTGTAACTCTGCATTAAATAGGCTACTACATTTGTTTCAATGAGACGTTTCGTCCTGCTCTGTTTTTCTGTGATCTCCTGGATCTTGATACCGAGGGTGGCGCAGTTCCAGCAGGTGGAAAGCCTCCTCCTTCAAAGCGCAGTTTGGACACAGCTTCAGAAACCCAACCCTCTGCGATCCAAGAGGCAGTGTGGAGGAGGGAGGATGAAGGAAGTCTAGAAACATGGGATCGCACATCTCTTAAAGCTGGAATCTGTTACCGATGGGTTTCTTTCAATGATTCGGAGTCGATTCCAACCTTCGAGGCTTCAATGATGTTATTCTCAGATTGGACTCTCTCAGTCGTCAATTTTGCGCTTCTATTAGGAATAACGTGTCTGAGCGTCACCTGTGATTTCACCAAGGGCTCTCCGGACTTATCAGGTGGGGATTCCTTTTTTGAGTTTCAAACTTTAAATTTAAGAACAACAACAACAACAAAAAATCTATTTATAGGCTAATCGAATTGTCCCATACATATAAAACTATAATGCATATTTACTTATGCGTAAAACAAAGGTTCTAACTTGCATTTTCATCTGCAACTTACACTTAAAATGATTATTAAATACACCTTGACTAAAAACAAACGCTACAACTTTGAGCGCTGATTTCATTCCTGTATCGCATCAGGTTGTTTTCCCATGTCGACCCGCGCCTCTGCGTGCTGCAGCATGCGCTCTCAGATGTTTGCCTCGTAAACCCATTCAGATATTGCCTACAACTTCAACGCGGAAAGGAAAAAAAAAAAGAAAAAAAAAGTTAAATGGAGCAGAAGGTTTTGCCTGCTTTAAGAGCCACTTTCTGTGGAACGATCCACACTTCAAAAAATAGGTTATAAAGGTAATTATAGTAGTGATGATGCGGCTGGTAGAATGATTTGTATAATGTGGTTAATATGTTGCTAGTATGGTCTTTTGCATACTGATGTAGATAAAGTACACTGCCTCCTGTTTTCTGGCATAGCTTTGAAAGCTACTGTAAGACATTACAGTGCATCTGATCTGCCTTTTTTTCATCTTCTACAAAATAAACATACAAAGTAAGTACTGTAAGACATTACTACTGCAGTGCTCTGAAAACCTTTTGCCTTTCAATGTTTTGCAGATTTCTGCATTGCTGTCACATTAACATGTTTCACTTCACCCAATTCTAACTGTCACGAAAACATACCCTGAATACAAACTTTAGTTTCTAAATTATTATTTCAATTGCTTTGGATGGAACATGCCCTAGGATTAGCTGGGAGAGAGCACAACCAAGTTCCACTTTTCTGCCATCATTTCCAAAGAAGGTGTCATTTGGCAGATTTTAGGCAGGCCTTTATTCTAAATTTACCTTAAACTCATTCATGGTTGTTTTTTGTCCACATTAGTCCATTTCTTACTGTTGAATCTTGGCACATTTGGCCTGCACTGCTTTTATTTATCTGGGTTATATTGTGAACACCTAAGATAAGATAAGATAAGATAAGATAAGATAAGATGAGGAGAGAAGATAGACTGTATTGATCTCACAGTGAGACAATGTCACTTGTAAAGTCAAATCAATAGTCGAAAGACGGTGCCAAAAGTAGGAAAAGGTACATGGGAAATATACAGTGTGTCCACACACACTTAGGTGTACCCCGCCTCTCGTGCGTAGACAGCTGGAGATAGGCACCACGCCACCCCACTCAGGATAAAGTGTGTCAGAAATGTATATATATAT